GGATTTTGAGGGAGGTTAAGTTTCAAAGATTGACTTACCTAAGACCATCTGCATGGATAGAAAGAAATTAACCTAGACACCTAATTTATCAAATTCCATCAATTGGTGATCCAACTTTATTTTTCACAAGTTTCTGTTCTGGAGACATTATTGGGCATTGTCTTGCCCTCAAAACTCATAATCTCTCCACTATTGTTGTAAGGCATGTAGTTCTTGGTGATAAATGCTACCATGACAATTTCTACTGAGGTCTCTCCTATAGCCCAAACAAGTCTTTTTACTCACTCTCCTCACTATATTTTAAACTTTGAATCCTGTGATTTCTAAAAGTTAATTAATGTCTACTTTTCAAAAAAAAATGTATTCCTAGCTATATTTAAACTCCCATGATCCCTTCATTGCCCACTCCCACCCCCAACAGAACATTTTAAAATTGGGCCCCTACCTTCTAGGTCACATAGGTGCATTATTTGCTAGAGCTCAGGTATAGATAATACCTGGGGAACATAAAGGGCATGATTCTGTGACTAATACTTTGTCAAACAAAAAATATAACAATAAAAACAAACAAAAAATAGGCTTGGCTCCTGTAGCTTAGCAGCTAGGGCGTCAGCCACATACACCAGAGCTGGTGGGTTCAGATCCAGTCCAGGCCTGCCAAATAACAATGACAACTACAACAAAAAAATAGCTGGGCATTGTGGTGGGCACCTGTAGTCGCAGCTACTTGGGAGGCTGAGGCCAGAGAATCACTTAAGCCCAAGAGTTGGAGGTTGCTGGTTGCTGTGAGCCATGACACCACAGCACTCTACCCAGGGCGACATAGTAAAGACTGTCTCAAAAAACTAAACTAAAATAAAAATAAACAAACTTCATGCCTCTTGTCCCTTACAGTTGGGATTCCTAATCACTACAAAAGTAGCCTATGGGCAGGATGAGGTAGCTCACACCTGTAATCCCAGCAGTCTGGGAAGCAGAAGCAGAAGGATTGCTTGAGCTCAGGAGTTTGAGACCAGTCTGAACAAGAGTGAGACCTCATCTCTACTAAAAATAGAAAAATTAGACAAGTGTTATGGCACATGCCTGCATTCCCAGCTATTTGGGAGGCTGAGGCAGGAGGATCACTTGAACCCAGGAGCTGGAGGTTAACAATGAGCTAGGCTGATGCCACTGTGCCACTGAACTCTAGAACCTGGGGAAACAGAGCAAGAATCTGTCTCAATAAAAAAGAAAAAACTATAGCTTATGCTATTTCTCACATTTAGGAGGGACCCAGGCTCCTCACTGCTGTGTTATTTTGTATGGTCCAATCCAATTAAGAGCATGGTTGAAGAATGACCACCCAACCACACTAACTAGCATCTGTCAAGCCCTTTATGGTTTACAGAAAGCCTGTCACATTTAACCCTCACACCAGCTCCATGAGAAAAGCATTCTTAACACTATTTTACAAAGGAGGCATCTGAGGCTTGGAGAGGTTAAGGGACTTGCTAAGGGTCACCCAGGTGAGGAGTCACAAAGCCCAGAAGAGAACCCAAGCTCTCTACTGCCCACCCCCTTGCTTTCACAATTATATCTCATGGCCTTCAGATCTAAACACAGTTATTCATTAAACAGGAGCCTAGTAGTCTTAAACAGGAAGCTCTCACTTGGCAAGGTCTTGTCTCTTGTTGTCTTTGACCCCAACTGTCTATGGCTTTGCCTCAGCCCAAAGTACACACAGACAAGAACCCAAAGGAGAACTAAATGCAGAATAAAATGACACTCACTTTAACGATACGTCTCAGCAAATGAGTTCCTGTGTAGCTGGCTGAAAGCCCAGACACTTTCAGTGAAACATCCTAAATAATTCAGAATTGTTGGTCTGTAATATAAAGTGCAAATGTAGCTCGTTTTTTAGACCAGTCCTGAACATCAATAATAATAAACCAGAGATAACATATTTTGTTTTCATAGAATTGGAACAAATTGAAGTATCTGTGCAAAAGTACACTGGATCAAGGGGCAAAGGGGACAAGGTCTAATTTTTACAGTAAGCAGATTTTCCAGAAAGGGACTATTTCTGAGAAAGGGATATTAGTCCCTTAGTCAAGGGAAGTTGGGTACATGCTTCTGACAAAGGGGAGGGAGAATAGGCAGGGGTCTATACACTAACTAGATATAAGGGAGTGTTGCTCAAAAGTGTGATTGCTAATTAGAAATGCCTCCTCGATTTCCCCCTTTTTTCCCATTCTTTGATTCTTATTGTCTTTATCTCTTTTTTTTGTTTGTTTGTTTGTTTGTCATATATGAAGTCTTACTGATCTAGGTTCTATTTTTTCTTCAGGGATATTTTTCTTAGCTTGAAGTACATAGCTGTCTCCCTTCTATTTCTATTCATCCTTTTCTCCTAAAGCTTCCTTAGAAGTATAGATTGAGGCAGAGTGCTAAGAAACCAAACTGAAAGGTTCCCTTCTCATCCTGACCCTTCCCCTCTCGTCTATTTCTTCCTCCTGTTTTCTTACCACCAGTATCTTCAAAGGCTTTCAAGAACTGTTAATATAAAAACTCCAGGAAAGATATAACGAAAACACAGCCATTCTTTACATAAATAAAGCACACTTTACAATCTTTTTTAATTAATTCTTTTGAGACAGAGTCTCACTCTGTTGCTCTGGGTAGAATGCTGTAGCATCATCCTATTTCACAGCAACCTCTCAAACTCCTGGTTCAAGTGATGCTCTCGCCTCAGCCTCCCGAGTAGCCGAGACTACAGGTACCTATCACAACACCCAGCTAGTTTGGGTTTTTTTTCCCCTATTTTTAGTAGAGTCAAAGTCTCGTTCTTGCTTATGCTTACTCAAACTCTGGAGCTCAAAAGATCCTCCCACCTCAGTCCCCCAGAGTTCTAGGAATATAGGTGTGAGCTACCATGCCCAGCCTATAATCTTTTTAAATTCTTTAGGGTATTTTCAGCGTTGTTTTCTCACTTTACCTAGACCATTGGGAACCTAACTTGTGTAGACTATAGACCAGTGTTTTTCAACCTTTTTTATCTCACAGCTCACTTGAACCTATTATTAAACTTCTGTGGCACACTTAAATTATGTTGATCAAAAAAGAGAGTAAAAAAAAAAAAGAACATACTTACTGTGCCTTCAACTTTTGAAAATAATTTAATTAATGATCTTTAAAAATTGTCATGGCACACCTAAAATCCTCTCACAGCAGATTGGTTGAAAATACTGCTACAGAAAATGGTATGCCTCAAAGTGAAATGACAATACAAGAAACTACGTAGAAGCATTTGCTCCAGGCCTGGACTGCCAGTTCTTAGGGTAGAAGCACCAAATGTTACCTAGTTCAACTTGCTCTGCAAGACCTGTGAAAGAGCAGGCCTTATACGACATACAGATAATATTATTTTTTGAAGTAATTCAATTTTGATTTAGAATTAACTCTGCCACCATGTTATAAGGGAAGGAAATATCACCTATATTGATAGTTGTATACACTATACTGATATTTCTGTGCAAAATATGTTCTCTTCCCTCTTTCCTTGGATTACATAAACTATATACATACCTTTCTTGGAGCAATTTCTTAGATAGTGGTAGCCTAAAAAACCTTTGTTTGGGGGTGGCAACTGTGGCTCAAGGAATAGGGTGTCAGCCCCATATACCAGAGGTGGCAGGTTCAAACCCAGACC